TGTTGTGCGCAAGATTGGAGGTGCCAGCTAAAGCAATAGTGTTCAGGTCGCTATTCCAGTGCCGATTGTGCCCGAACTCACGAGGAGCGAAGTGGTATTACCTCTCTGGGAGGGATAAGAGCCAGCTCTTCAAAAACGTGAGGAACAAAGTGGCGAGGTGGAAGAGGCAGTTTATTTTTGTTCGCGACACACGAGCAAAAAGGATAAGCAACGACCTCGCTGCCCGGTTGTCTGAGTGGCGAACGCCGAACGCCCACATCAATTACCCCCAGCTACTGCCCCGGGATGTGGATCTAAAGAACCAGCTGCTCCAGTATGCGCAGAGGGAGGGTCTTATAGATCTGGAAGCCCTGATTACCTCGGGAGCTCTCGCCGTGTTAGGGTTTGTCGATGTGACAAACCTGTTTAGCGAAGGTATATTTTTATCATATAGTATTAATTCTAGCCGGGCTGAGGCTTATGCGTTTTTTTGTGCAGGAGAAATGAGCAACCTATTGGAACGCCAGCGCCAACGTGCCCAGAGCTCCCGAGGCCGTGGGGCGAGCAGCGCACAGCCCCGGCAAACAAGATTTGACGAGCGGCCACCCCCAGCGCCTCAATCACGCAGCTCGTCACACCGGGGATCTAGCTCGGCTTCAAGGCCACGAGAAGATCGCAGAGTTGAGGTGGCGGCCCCGGGCGCGCGCAGGCGCACACGCGAGGAGACGGAGAGCGAGGAGGATGAAGTTCCCCTAGCCAGGCGCATAAGAAGCGGAGGGACTCAGCCCGCTCAGGCGGCTCGTCCTACAACGGTGCGTTCGCCCGTCGCACCGTCAGCGATCGCGCAGGCACCAGTCGAGCCCGCCTCGGCATCAGCTTCGTCCTCGGGCCTCAGGATTGCTTATCTTGAGGGTTTCAGCTACACACGGGCGGAGTGTCAGCCCGCCATGGTGCAGGCCATGCACAGTTTTGTGCCCCCGACAGATAATCGGCGGGCAAAAGCGTTCGTGCAGCAGCATGGCTGCCAGGTCGCCATGATCAAGCTGATGGATGTAAGTGTTCGCTCGTATTTCTTTAAATGTTTTGTCTTACTTTATTGGGTACTTACTATTGTTGCCGTTTGGCAGGCATTCAACTACGCTGTGGCGCTCTACGAGAGCGATCAGGCAGCTCGCACCCAAAACAG